GATTTGGAGATGTGCGACATCTTCTCAGCCATGGAGTCTCTTGGGATCGATGACGATGAAGGAGTGTAGGTATCAGCGTAAGAATCAAATTAATATGGGTTTGAGTATTCAATGCCAATAATTAAATAAAAAACTTTTTTATTTAATTAACTAGCCTTTAGTATTACTCCTGGTATATATTTATTATATTTCGGGGGGATGCAATATGTCTAGTCTATTTCCGTCCTTGATCAATTTTGAAATGGTCGGTCTATTTCCGTCTGGAGGTAGTAGTTCTGTTCCTACTTGATATGAATGGTTCCTGTGGTCTGCGGATATATATTCGATGCACATCCTCCTGTCATGCAAACGCACAGAGCACATGTCTTCCCTGGACATGTGTTAGTCATGCATGTTGAAGTTGACTCCCCGAGGGAACAACATTCTCAACACTCCCCTATGTTGGTATTGGAGGGGAGGCGGCTTCTGATTGGCCTGTCTTGGGTACGTTGGAACTTGTGCAGAGAGAGAGGGTCCCAACTGTCATTGCCGCAGTCTTGAATTTTGCAATGGCGTCTCTTGTGGACACCTTGGTGAGGATGTCCGCAAGCTGATCGGTGGTCCCGACGTGGCATACATCGATGGCCTTACCGCGGATGAGTTGGCGAACATAGTGGAGTCGTACGTCCATGTGCTTGCTGCGTTCGCTCACACCGCTCCCCTCAGCCGTGGCAATTGCCGACTTGTTGTCGCACCAGGTGAGGGTCGGAGCGTGCTGGTCTACTCCCATCTCTTGTAGGAGCCCACGGAGCCACACGACCTCTTTGGCCATCTCGACGAGGGCAATGTATTCTGCTTCACAGGTGGACAGCGCCACTACGCGCTGGCGTGCAGATTTCCATGACACAGCGCCACCGCCGACGAAGCAGACAAAGCCGGTGGTCGATCGACGGCCATCCCGGTTGGTCCAACTGGCGTCGCTATAGCCGACGAGTTCGCAGTTACTGGCGCGGAAGATCAGGCCGTGGTCAAGGGTGGACTTGATGTAGCGCAGAATGCGCTTGGCCCCCACCATGTGCGGTTTGCGTGGGTCATGCAGATGGCGGGACAGGCGCTGCACGGCGTGTGCAATGTCGGGACGCGTACACACCATGAGGTACATGAGCGATCCTGTCATGGATCGGTAAGTTGATTGGTCCGATGGTGGTTGCTGATCATCGTGCCATAGGTCTTCACGGTCGTCGACTTCGGGCGTGGCGTAGCCGTGGCAATCACTCATGCCGAAGCGGTCCAAGACCTTGCGTGCGTACGCAGCTTGATTCATAGTGATCACTTTGTCTTGGTAGTCGATCTTGATGCCCAGAAAGTAGGCAGCCTTGCCCTGGCGCTTTAGTTTTATTTTTCTTTCAAGCTGGTCGAGGATCTTCTCCGCGGCGGCGGTGGTCTTTGTCATGACGAGGAAATCGTCAACGTAAGTGCTCAACATCTCCAAACTCCCTTCTGATTCCCTCAGATAGAGACATATGCGCTGGGATGGAAAGATATCGACAGCAAAATCTTGCGACAGTGTTCGAACCAGGCGAGCGCTGCCTGCTTGAGTCCGTACAAGGCCTTGATCAGCAACATCACCCGGTTGGTTCAGTCGCCGTGGCCAGGCGGTTGGTCGACGTACAGCAAGACCCCCTCGTCCATCTTGGCCTGGACGAATGCCGTGTCGGCATCGGCCTGGACTATGACATAGTTCTTGGAGACGACGAAGGCGGCGCAGGCTCGAATAGTCCCCATTTTGACCACTGGAGAGTACGTGTCTGTGTAGTCCACACCTTCCACTTGTGAGTAACCCTTGCATACTAGGCGGACCTTGTGGCGGATGACTTCGCCGGCGGAATTGGTCTTCTTTGCGTAGGTCCACCGCGACCCAATGGACTTCCGGCCGGTTGGGAGGTCAACGAGCTTCCAGGTTCCGGCGTCGCGAAGTTGGTTAAGTTCCAATTCTTCGGCATTGGCCCACTCTGCGCGGTCGGGCGACCGCATGGCCTCGTGGTGGCTCTGGGGGATGTCGTCCATAGTCGGCAGGGCGGAGCAGGCATACTCGACACCGTCGACGGTCATGGTGGCACCGAGTTCAACTTCGGTGGCGGCGTTGGCACGATCGCGGCTAGTGGCAGCGTCCAGATCGCGAATGACGTTGGCCACTTGCTTGGTGTTGCTTCGCCGCGCAGATTCGCCATCGAATCTCGCTGGTACTCTGATTTTTTTTCTATCTCGTAGGGCCATCCCACGGTAGTCACTGGGTGGTGAGTTGAACTCGTCCATTGTCATCATGGTATCACGCCTCGAAGTGGCTGGTGGCGTCAGTGCAGACAAGGGGCGACCTCCAACGGCCCCGTCGACGATACTGTCAGGGTAGAAGTGCGCCTGCGTGCTCATCCCACGTGGGATTGGAGTGCTTGTGACACGTTTGCCTGGCTTAAAGTGGCTTGGCGGCGCCATTCGGGGCTGTGACGTTGTCACAGGGGTAGAGGTGGGCTTTGTGGCCACTGGCTCTCCTTGGGTGAGTTCTTCGTCATCATCATCATCGTCTTCGTGAGTAACTAGGTACTCGTCGATGGGTGTGCGCACGCCGGGGAATTCATTTTCCCGGAACTCGACTTGAACGCTCGTCACCATCTTCTGATGCTCCAGGTCGTACAGTTTGTACGACTTTTGGGCTTCGGCGTAACCCATCATTACGCACTTCGTGTCCTTCGGTAATAGTTTGTCACGTTTCTCTGGCTCTTTGATCATATTGTAGGCGATGCATCCGAACACGCGCAGCTTGTCCAAGCGCGCGCGAAGCCCAGAGAAGGCTTCTATTGGGGTGGTGGTGGCCGCGGGACCATGGGGCACGCGGTTCTGGATGAACACAGCGGTGTTCACTGCTTCTGCCCACCATCGCTTGGACAGGCCGGCGTGAGACATCATGGCCATGGCCATCTCCATGATGGAACGGTGAGCACGCTCAGCCATTCCATTTTGCCATTGATTGTCTGCTGTAGACTTCTCGTGGGTGATACCCCAGGTTTTCAAAGCCTCGTTGAAGTCATTGGATGAGTATTCTGGCCCACCATCAGATCGAAAAATCTTGATCTTGCGGCCGGTCTGGACTTCGGACCAGGTCTTCAGCTTGTTGAAGTTCTCGTGTTGGGTGGCGGCGTCGGTCGAACTTGACGAATCGAACCACTTTCATGGCGGACCCGACGTCAAGGTACACTGTGTAGTACTTGCACCCACCAACTGATTCAGTGCGCATAGGGCCTTTGGTGTCGGACACCCAACACTCCCCTGAGCGGAACGACCGCGTCCGCTCCTTAGGTGGCGAAATCTTGGTGATCTTGTTCTTGGCGCAGCACTCACACTTCACCTTGAGCTCGGGCAGCTGTTTTGGTGTACCAAGTCCCATGGAGCCGCATCGGTTTACGGCTGCAGTGGGTAAGTGTCCCACTCGTTGGTGCACAGTGTTGACATCTTTTGTGTAGACTTCTTCGTCGGGGTGTCGGCTGCGAGGTTGCATTGCTCGACTTCGCCGGCGAGATCCAAGACGTATACTTTCCGTCTTGGGTCAAGTGTCGCCGTTGCGATGGTGTTAGCGCCGTGCATTATGCTGCAGCCGCGGGCGTTGAAGGTGACGGCGAATTTCGAGTCGCGGCGCATCATGGCGGTGACCGAAAGGAGAGTTGATGGAATGGCGTCAATTACTAACACATCTTCCATGACTAGAGTTGCGCCTGTATCGGTGGTCACCCGCATGGTACCTTGGTCGCGCGTGTTCGGCCGCCGTTGGCGACGATGACCATCCGGTCACAGGGCTTCAAGTCGGTCAGCCGAGTGGCGTCCCCGGTCATGTGGGTTGACGCCCCCGAATCAACGAGGACTCGGCCGCGGGAGTCGGTGGCGTAGAAGACGAAGGCATTGCTATCAGCGTCTTCGACTTCTTCGTCCTCGATTGCCGCGAATATCCACACTACTTCATCCAAGGCAAGGTTCCCGGAATCTTCCTTGTTTTGATCTTTCTTGCCACTATTGCCCTAAGGATTGTTTCCTGTTAGTTTTCTGGGACGGCCGGCTTGCTTGGAGCGGCACTCTGCTTCCCAGTGGCCCTTGCGCTGGCACCAATTGCATTTTCCCGGCTTGACCGTGGCGATGAGTGCATGGTCATCGTTGCTGCCGCTCTTGGGATTGGTGAGTGCGCCCGAGCAGATGGCGGCTTTATACTCTGCTTCCAAGAGGACTCTAACTGTGGCTAGGTTCTGACTCTGCGCCGTCGGCATGGCGTGAACTCGTGGATGGCGTCGCCGCTTGCCTTGAGTTTGCGGAGAACGATCTCGTATCGTTCCAGGAACTGCGGTAAGCTTTCTTGCTTCGTGTTCCACTTCATGTTGAAGTACTCGGATAGGGTGACCAGCCTGTCGACGCGTGTTTTCTGTTCGTGGTGCTTGGTCAGCGCACACCATGCATCGCCGTACGTATCGCCCTCGGCCACGTATTGTTGTTGAGACTCCGAGCAGCAGGTGAGGAGAATACCCAAGGCATATACGTCATTGTCGTCCGAGTAGGTTGTGTCCTGTGTGCTAGTTCTCGCGGGGGTCGTGATGTTGCCGGCGTTGGACGCCGCGAGTCCTCGCTCGTTGGCCAGTGCGACTCCGCCGTCATACACTGCCTTGAACTTCTTGCTCAGCATGCGACCCTTGAGTGCTGTTCGCCAGAAGTTCCAGTTGTCCTCCCGTAGCATCATTGTAGATGTCTTAGCCTCGAACATGTCAGTTGGGCTCATAACCTGTTCAATCGAGGAGTTCGAGCGCTGGCTGCGAAGCCAGTATGGTAAATTCAAGCGTAATCTATTGGTTGTTATCTACTTCTGTTCCTACTTGATATGAATGGTTCCTGTGGTCTGCGGATATATATTCGATGCACATCCTCCTGTCATGTAAACGCACAGCGGGGAGACCGAGGTGCTTGGTTGGAATCAAGGACGAGTCTGCCACTGGAGGTGCCCGGATTTTGGCCGCCGACTTTTACGCCGACCCCAAGCGCTTGAAGCAACTTGCCGTCTTCTCACGCCCCGAACACATCTTGCCTAGGTATGGTGAGTTTGTGTACAATACGCTGCTTCGCGCCA